CTAGCCTTGAGCTGAAGAACTCAGGGACAGCACCCAGGCCCAGAGTTCAAGCCCCGCAACCAAAAAAAAAAAAAAAAATACACCAAGAAGCAAATGTATAGCATGGCTGAGGCAGGAGGAACAGTAAGACTATTGTCACCCTTACCCCCACCAAAAAAAGGAAATCAAGATGGTAGAATTTATATCACGTGTATTTAATCACAATAAAAAGTTGGAAAAACAGACAACATAATATGAAGTTTTATGTTAGACTTCAGTTATGTTATCAGCATTTTATTTACCTATACATTTAAACATCTGCATTAATGCCTCAAGTTTGCAGAATTAACAGCAAATCACAATCAATACTTAAAAGTTTTTGATATTCCTTCTTGTTTAGAAAAAAACTGATTTCTCTAGCACTTACCTAAACTTGTGGGCTTGATGAGAACATCAAGGACATCATAAAACGGCAGGTTTTTTAACTGTACATCAGGATGGACAGGAGGAATTGGAGGAGATGGTTGCTGCATCTCAAATGTGGGCTTAGTATCTTGAAGCAGCACAGAACCAACAGGAGATGACGGCGAGTGAGGTGTAACTGATGTGGAAGGCAACGAGTGGATTCCAGCCACAGCCAAGTCAGGTTCTACAGGTGATGAACTACCATCCAAATTGAAAACAGATGACTTGATTGTGGATAAATCAGTAAGTCCTTCAAGAGTCCGTGGATATCGGCGTCTATACAATTCTCGGATTTTAATCTGAACCGCAGGGCTACAGCCGCTCTTCAATAAATGCAGCGCCCTCATCAGGAGGTCATGCTTGCGTCCACTTTTATTTCGTCCAGCAAAGCCTAATAACACTTGTAGTTCAGAAACCCTAAAACTAGAAACCATATTCTAAAAGAAAAGAAAAAAAAGCCACCAGTCATATTTAAGCACATAAAAATTGCAAAATCTGACGTCTCCTGTAGTCCATCAATTTGCATGTATTAGTAACCAGCATTACATATACTAGCTAGAATCATTAATATTCATGAAGCCAATTTTGATAAAAATATAAAAACTATGTTGTTCAAGCCTCAAGATTGGCACTGGCACGCACGCGTGCGTGCACACACACACACACAAACAATATATATTCTAAAATATTAAACTAATCTCAAGCACAGTAGTACATGTCTATAATCCCTGCACTCAGGAGGAGTGAATGGAAACAGGAGGATCTTGAGTTCTAGTCTATAAAGTTACTTCTAGACTAGCTTCAACTACCAGAACTTGTCTCAAATAAATAATGTTTTTTTCTTTGTTTTTGGTTTTTTGTTTTTGTCTGTCGTGGGGCTTGAACTCTGGGACTGGGTGCTGTCCCTGAGCTCTTCAGCTCAAAGGCTAGCACTCATCGTTTGAGCCACAGTGCCACTTCCAGTTTTTTGGTTATTTGGAGATAAGAGTCTCATATGTTTGCTGACCAGGCTGGCTTTGAGCCACGATCCTCAGATCTCAACCTCCAGAGTAGCTGGGATTACAGGTGTGAGCTACCAGTGCCCAGCTTTAAGTAATAAGTTTTTAAAAATCATATACATATTATTTAGCAGTAAGTTAAACTTCTAAAACAAGATTCTCAGCCTGGTATTCAAGTGAGAAAAAGCCCTCTGAAGAGTAAGGAACTTGTTCTTGAATGTTAAACTTAAGCTTTACAAATATCACCTTTTTTTATTCAACAAAACCTAGTAAGTACTAACCACTTGCTCCCCCATAGTCTCAAGAATCTGGCTACTTAGTGGTTCACAGTCAATCTGTAAACCACAACAGTCAGAAAGATCAATGGGGAGGATGGGAAGGAAAGAATGAGAAAATGAGAAAGAGGGAACAGCTTACATTAAGCAAAAGGAAAAAATATGTGCGTATCACTCCATTTGGAAGAAATAGTTATATTGTCAAAGTTAGTAGAGTTCAAAAGCTTTATAGACTATGATAATGACAATTTATCTCATGAAGGTTAAAATGTATTTGTGACTTTAGCTAAGTATCACTGTCCCACAATATTGTGAAATTTATATAATTACTTAATCTCAATAAAGAAAATTTTAAAAAAAGATCAATGGAGGGTTGCAGGGGTTGGGCAGGGCAGAGCAGAGCAGAGACAGACACAGAGACAAGACACCGAGGGGCAGACCCAAAGAGAAAGTAGATCTCTTGAAGGTGACCAAAGCCCTTTTAGAGCCTTATCTCAGGACACCCTCTGCTTACTATATCTTTTGGTTTCCCCATCTTCCTAGATCAGTAAAGAATATCCATAACAGCCTGGATTACTTTCAATAAAGAATAAAGATCTTATTTGGGTGTCCAGAGGATGGCAGGGAGTTACAAACAAAAAGGAAGACAGAGATAAAGGCTTACAACCATGAATATGGAATTACTAGATTCTGAACAGCAGGTGGAATGGTCTTGAACTACAAAATGCTGAAAAGATAGACATACTACCAGAAACACAACTAAAGATAATGAATGGTCGGACTGTCAAAAGAACCCTATGGAAAACTACAGTTAAGAGGTCAAACCCTGACACCAAAAATTAGAACTCTGGAAGACTCGTTTCATCCCTCTGGTCATCAATTTTTACTTCAGAAGAACAATAACAACCATCTCATTTATTACTTACATAATGTCCCAAAATCTTAGAAAATAGGATTCTATGGATTTTTTTAAATAAGTTTTTGAAACAAGTTCAAAACTTGGTCCTTCTTATAGCATGTATTATAAGAAGGGTCATCAGAATAAGGCTAGCCCACTACAAATACTATTAAGAACGGATTTCTTGGAAGTGGCGCTATGGTTCAAGTGGTAGTGTGCCTTGAGCTGAAGAGCTGAGGGACAGCGTCCAAGCCCAGAGTTCAAGCTCCACAACTGACCCCATCCCCACCCCCGACACACACACAAAAAGAATGGATTTCTGAAGAAAGCAAAGGAAGGGGTGATATTGTCCAAAAAAAAAAAAAAAAAAGAAAGGTAGCCATTACCTGACGTTTAAAATGGTAAACTCTCTGTACAACACCTTAATAACAATAAAATCATATTAAATACACGCAAAGAATGAATTTCAACTATTTTCTTTCACTTATTTATGATGCCTACATCTTTGACATAATATTTTCAAAGCAGACTTTTTCCACTCTGTTCTGCTGCCTCCCCCAAGCTCCCATAATTTGCCTCTCAATATTTCAGAGTTACAACTGGTATTGGCTCTAGGTACAGAGTTTCTACACAGGGAAATATGTTGGTATAATTCTTTTTTTTTTTTTTTTAAGATATACAAGAGCTGGGCACTGGGCTCAGGTCTCTGATCTTAGTTACTCAGGAAGCTGAGGTTTGAAAGATCAAGGTTCAAAGACAGGTCAAACAGAAAAATCCATAGGATTCCATCCTCAATATAATCAACAAAAGGCTGAGCTGGAAGTATGGCTCAAGTTCTTGCTGAAGAAGCAAGAATGCCCCAAAAGCACAGGAATCTGAGTTCGAACCTCAGTATCAGAAAGAAAAGCACAAGTCTGAGGGTGTGGCTCAATGGTAGAGTATTTGATTTGCAGACACATAGTCCAAGAATCTATCTCTAGCCCCATAATTGGTAAACTGACTTCTTAAAAAAATAATAATATAAAAATTAAGAGTTTGAAGAAACCAATTTCTTTACATTTAAGATAATACAGAAAGCCAGGCACCAGTGGCTCACACCTGTAATCCTATCAACTTGGGAGACTGAGATCTGAGGATCGAGGTTCAAAGTCAGCCCGGGCAGGAAAAGTCTGTAAGACTCTTATCTTCAATAAACCACCAGAAAACCATAAGTGGTGCTGTGGTTCAAGTGATAGAGTGCTAGCCTTGAGCTGAAGAGCTCAGGGACAGTACCCAGGCCCAGAGTTCAAATCACACAACTGACAAAATAATAATGATGATGATAATAATAATATATAACAAAATTATACAAATGTGTAAGCTAATGTATTATTTAATAGAAAGAGTACATATACCAATGAAAGCAATCTGGAGTCACTACATTTAGAAAATATCTCACTGAACAGGAAAATGGTTACATGTAATCATCAATGAATAAAAATTTGAAACTTAAATATGAGATGAAAATAATAAAAATATGAAATGAACAAAAAATTAAATTTGGAGAAGCTCTAACACAGATACATATATCTGTCATGATACCTAACATGGGGGCAGAAAGTAAGGCTACTAAGGCTAACAAATCACATTTTTTAATATGGCTATTCTAGCTTAAAATATACTTCAGGGCCATGGTGGCTCATGCCTATAATCCCAGCTATTCAGAAGGCCAAGATCTGAGGATCACTGTTCAAAACCAGCGTAGGAAGGAAAGCCCTGGAGATTCTTATCTCCAATTAATCACCAAAAAGTCAGAAGTTCAGCAATGGCTCAAGTGGTAAAATGCTAGCTTTGAGCAAAGAAGCTCAGGGACCGTGCCAAGGCTCTTAGTCCCAGGACTGGGACACCCACATGCAGACATACCCAGACACCCAGACACACACACACACCCAGACACACCCAGACAGACAGACAGACACACACACACACACACACACACCCCTAAATCATTGTTCCTAAATAGCCATAAAGGAAGACCACAGATTAATATAATCAATGTGTCAAAAGAGCAACGACACTAATATGATTAAGAAAAATTGTATGCAAACTGAAAAGATGAACTAATTCCTAACTACTACTCATTTTAAAGGTCATGTCAGGATTTTACTCCTGGTTATATACTGGGAACGTCATTTATTCCCTATAATTAAGAGTCCTTAAATGGATCTTTTCTTTAAAATATAATGAATTCCCAGATGACAAAGATCAAGAATGAAACTCAGTTATTAAACAATAAAACCACACTACAATTTAAAATCTGTAAGACAAGCTGAAGCTTCAGAGAACACCCCCTGAATGTTTCTATTATATTATGCAATAAAGATGAAGCTGGGCATAATAGTTTAAACACCATAATTCCTAGCTACTCAGGAGGTATAGGCAATAGGCTTTTGAGTTTAAGGCTAGCCAGAGCAAAGGTAGTAAGGACACTCTTTCAACAACAAAAAAGGCTGAACGCTGGCTGCTCAAGTCTTTTAAACCTAGCTACTCAGACTTATGGTACTTTGTAGCCAGCCTGGGAAGAAAAGTCCATGAAACTCCATCTTCCGAATAATTAGAAAAAAGCCGGGCCATACAATGAAGGCTTAGTCACCAGTCTGTCAAACTACTGAGGTAACAGAACCTTTAGAGGGTACCTACTGGAAGGAAGTTGGGTCACTGGGTATAAAGACTGCCCCAGAAGTAGACCCAGTCTGTTTTCTGGCTGCCATGAGGTGAGCAACTAGGATATCATGTGTTCCCTGCCTGATGTTCAGCCTTACCACAGGCCCAACAAAAAGAAGCAACATAACCATGGACAGAAAGTTCTGAAACAACACCAAGATAAATCTTTCATCCTTATATAGTTGGTTATCTAAGGTTAATTGGTCACAGTGACAGAAAGCTGACTAACCCAGGGTAGAGAGGACAACTAAACTGATATTAATATGGCTTATTCTAGCTTATTATAATAATTAACCTTTTCATTTATAAAAGCAACACAATTTATAAACCAGTATCAATACATCAATGTTGCTGTGATTATAAACATTAAATTCCTCAAATGAGCTGGACATTGGTAGCTCAAGTCTATTATTCCAGTAACTCAGCAGGCTGAGAACTAAAAGATCTCAATTTAAAGCCAGCCCAGAAAGACAAATCTGAAAGACTTATCTCTAATTAACTAGCGAAATACTAAAGGTGAAGGTATAGCTCAAGTGGTAATCTGTCAGCCAAGCGAAAGAGCT